GGCTACTTCTGCTGACTGCCATCTGCCTGCAATTTGGCAGTTCAAATCTCACCAGGCTCAAGGTTGACTCAGACTTTCATCCTTTTGTGGTCATTAAAATGAGGGCCCAGATTGTTGTGCACAATATGCTCATTCTGTAAACCGCTTAGAGAAGCTGTAAAGCAGTGTGAAGCTGTATATAAGTCTAAGTGCTATTGTTATTGTTACAAGGGTTCCTGAAGAACTTTATCCAAACAAAATGGATAGAGCCCCAACATTTGATCTGATTTGAGGATGGGGATAAAAGAAAATGATGCCCAAACAAGACATAATGTTGTCCCTTAAAAAACAAGAAACAAATTAAAAATGCACTCCTGCTTCCATCTACTTTTGGAAGGTAACCCTCAGCAAGCTGTACAAAATTCAATGTGGCCCTCAAGTCAGAAGTTTTGCACCACTGTTTAAGGGATGGTGGTCTAGCATTGGCAGGAAAATAGTTTTTCACAGAAGAACACAATCATTTTTACCAATTTTACAAACAAGGAAAATACTTGCAAAAACAACAAAGCTGTTGTTCAGTATTTTGTAATCTATGCACAACACAAAATAATATAGGGTACTTACTTGAATAGCTCATAAGTTTGTTTAACCAAGAACCAAGACGCAAAGCAAATTTCTGATGAGCCATTACATCTGCATGAAGAACCATCACATTAAGGGGACCTTGGGAAACATTATTTGAATGTTTCTAGAAAATAAGAATATTTAAAATTTGAATGAGAATACAACAAGCATTCTATGAATCAAAGATGATAAAACAAAAATGTGGGGTTAAAATCAAGGAAAATCATATCTATAAATTTATCTTCATAAATGTACAGAATCCGGGATCAAGCTGCTTTCAAAAAAGATGTTTTATGTTTTTATGTTTTATGTGTTGTTTATGTTTGTTTTTAAAAATCAATAAAAAAATTTCAAAAAAATAAAATAAATGTACAGAATAGTATACATATTTTAAAATTTCTATTGTTACCTTAATCTCTTCTTTTGCTTCCTGACAAACAACATATGACCCCTTCTTAACAGCCTTCCGACCCTTTATTTTTTTTTAAATAAAATAAAATAGAGATAGACAGAACAATGTTATCATAGTGTGTGCAACAAAAGGCAAGATCAAAATGGAAAAGATGCTTTCAGGCTGATTTAAATGGAAGTGGTACAAATATTCAGTCATTTTGTATTGTAATTTAAATTTGAATTAGCTTTTGTTAGATATATATCAACATCTATGACTTTTAAAACTGACAAAAACCAGAGGTGGTATTCAGCAGATTCTCACCACTTCTGGAGAACCGGTAGCGGACATTTTGACTAGTTCGGAGAACCGGCAAATACTACCTCTGACTGGAGATTTTACAGTATCCTTCCCCTGGCATGCCCACCAAGCCACGGCCACAGAACCGGTAGTAAAAACATTTGAATCCCACCACTGCAAAAAACATTTACATTATTACAGAGATAATGCCATCATGGAGCTCTTTTAAAGGAATAAATTCACTGTCAGAAATTAGCATATGACCTGGATGTTCACAGGGTTTTAAAAATATTCTTAGTTCATGGTCCATTAATTCTTCTGTTCCTTTTCAGAATTATTCCATTCTACAGTTTGCAAAATTTATGTCTACTAACAGCAAACAATCCCCATAATGGTATGGTCTGAAAGAGGTAAGGCATAGTTCACAGCCATTCCATTGCTGAATCAGTGAATTTTGCACTACCCTATATACTTGCACATAAACCCATCTGCAGATAATCCAGTCTTTGAATCTTTATCCCAAATACCATGAAAAATGTACCACCCACAGGGCACTTCTGAGAAGAAACGGCAGACAAACTATTTCTCTTGTTAACCCTTATATGAAAATAGATCATCCAAAGCACTTCCTGGAAGATGGATGGATCAATATACAGTAAGACAAAGCTAAAAGTGAAAAAATCTTTAAGAGGCTTCAAAGAATATAAAGATCCTTGCCTAGAATTACAAAACCTTAAAACGTAGAAAAAAATAGCTTCTCACATTCTAAAACTGTGACCCGTTGCTAAAAAGAATATCTTCCTCTGATACCATATCTGAAGGGTGGGAACAATATAACAAGAAAAAAGATTTAGATTTGAACTGTAAATATGAAAAGATTCTTCAGAAATCAATTCCTTAAATATTTCAAAAAGGCCAGATTTAAAATGCATGCTGGCACAAACAGCAATAGCACTTAGACTTATATTCTGCTTCACAGTGCTTTACAGCCTAAGTGGTTTACAGAGTCAGCCTATCGCCCCCAACAATCTGGGTCCTCGTTTTACCGACCTCGGAAGGATGGAAGGCTGAGCCAACCTTGAGCCTGGTGAGATTCAAACTGCCAAATTGTAGGCAGACGGCAGCAGAAGTAGCCTGCAGCACTGCATTCTAACCACTGTGCCACAGTAGCTCTTGTGATTCTAAATGTTAGAATTTCCAGAAAAAAAGTCAATCCTGACATAATAATTTCTTCTTAAAATATAAATTCATATTTTGCCTTAAAATACAATGAGAAGGGAATTTGGTATGGAAACAAAAAGTGACCAGCCCTGTTCATTCACTAAATTTCTAGATTAATCTTGCTGGAGCAATAATTATTAAGATGTCAATTGACTTAAAAGAAAACCCATTGTTCTGAAAATTGTCACTCTTTCACAAAATTTATCTTAAGAATTCAATCTAATATAAGATATTGATTATAATGACAACTCAGAATCAAATAATGAACACTGCAAGTACATTACACCAATCTGTGCAAAAGAGAACTATGCAGCCATGCTTTTCAAAAAGCGAAACAATCTCAGCATTTATTAAAAAAAAAATGACAATGTCCTTCTTCCATTTCTCCCTATTGTCAGGCTGGATACCACAGCAGCACAATAACTGGAATACACACACTTGTTTCAGGAATTATGTATAATTACTAACCTCTTTATCTATAGCAGTAGTATATATCTGGGCTTCTGCAAGGTCACACCCAAGAGTTCTTTGTAGACTGTAGATAACATGATCATAAGAATGATGCTCATCATTGAAAAGGACACAATAGTGTTTGTCTGGCTTCTCTGTACTATAAAAAACAAAACCCAAAAGATGACCGATGACCCATGAGAAAAACTGAAATAACTTCCAAATTAAAGCTGGCCACGGGAATAGCACAAGCTACAAATAAACGTGTAGTAGAAATAGTTAAACTAAGATATTCATTATTATCAATACTTGCTTTCAAAAACATTCCCAATTATATTAAAGAGTCCTTGATTCAGTTATTCAGCATTATATAGGCAGTTCCTTCTTAGTTAGCACCCTGATCTATGCAATGTGGAAAACATCTCTTTCAACAACTTGGAAAGCAAGAATTGAATTAGTTTTATTATTACTCTCCCTCCTTTCCCCCTCTCTCTTGGTCTAATGTCTGATTCAGTTTATGTCAGGCGCAAGCAACTAGATCCACATCTGAAAGACTGAAGTTGAGTACTTTATTACATTCTATCGATAATACAGGATTCTCCCCAGACTGCTTGCCTTCCCTTGGGAACAAACAGATAAGGTTCCATGGAACTTAGAGGAGGTTAAGCCTAAATCTATTGTGGCTGCACAAAAACTCAAGGCTAGTTCCACTCTTGATCCCTCCTCCTCCCCTGGCTGAGAGTTTTCCAACAGTTTATGACAATGTGATAAGCAAGTGTATAAAAATCAGAGAATGTTGACTTCTAGGAGAAGCATGGGAAACTGGACATCTCCTGGAAAGCAGAACTGTGAAGACCAAGGTACCAGGAGATGATGAAAGATCATTCACATGTGCTCTAGCTGGCTGCTCTTCATGAAGACATTATTTTATGTGGGTTTGAGCACCAGGAGACAAAGGAATCAGCCATGCAGCCTTTGAAAGGACATTAAGTTTGTAAATCTTGGTTTCTAATCACTTTTGGAATTGCTATTAAGAGACCTTCAGAACAATAAAGGCACACTGGGTTAGTGTTATTTTCAACTTCAACTCTGAACAAAATAATAGCTTAATTAATGACAAGCTTAAGAACTTTAAGACATTGAAATAAATAGCAAAAAGCTAAATAAGTTTTTGATCTAAGAAAGTTACAAATAGATTAAGGGTCCAGACAAATTGGGAATATTGACTTTTATTGTAAGATTTTGGAATTATCTATAAAAATAAATAGTTTCTTGTAGGAAACGGATTTATTTTGGCTATCCTGGTTATTGCAAGTCTTAATTAAGATAAGTTACTTTATGGTTTTTGGACACATGAAAAAACTCAAGATTCTAAGCAGAATAAAATATAAGCCAATTTTTGACATCAGTTAATACTAAGACTTATAAAATGACACAAAACATTGTAACATCGAAAATATTAAAGGAGGCCTTTGAAGAATGGAGCCAGAAATTACTGACTGCAATATCAACACTATCAATAATAATGTCTGCTTCTATGGATAGAGTGTCCAAAAGGTGTTAATGAAGGAATGACACATATGGGAGGGGGGGGGATCTAAATTATCTAAGACAAATAAAGTACCAAAAGTGGGATTTTAAATGACAGGCCAAGAGAATGCTTTGGAAAAGGTTACTTTATTAGATGTCAAAAGAACTTCTCTGAAATTTTAAAAGGGGAAATATAATAATAAAACAAAGAGGATGAACTGGAAAATATTTTTCAATCGGCTCTACAAAAGAATCTTAACCCTATCCCTGGTAGACCAGTCCCATCGGAGAAAAAAATGGATCTCTCCCCTGGTATAGCTAACAAAGTGAGGAGACCCTGTGGCTTAGAGGTTAATACATCTACCTAATATGCAAGCAGCCCAGGTTCAAATCCCAGAAGGGTATGGGCTAGGTGATGAGAGCTAAATAGCTTGAAAGAGATCTATACTAGTCTCCCTTTATTTCTTTGTTGGTAAAACATAAATCTAACACAATCAGAAGGATGGCTAACTCGGGGGGGGGGGGGGGGGGGAATTAAAGAACAGAAACCCCAGGTTTTCTTTGTAACAACTAGCACTATCTTTCAAAGTTAAACAATCTCTATACTAGTAAGAGGCCCTAAGTATAGAAAGACCTTTCTTAACAGTTGCAAGAAAAAAACCCATTATCTGCTAGGCTAATCTGTTAAGAGTATGAAGACAGGAAATCTTTTTACTTGTAGAGTGAGAATTTCAAGATACATAAACTATCTGGGTGATTCTATATAATTCTCCATTCCTACTCTTCATTTGCTTTTCCTTGCTAAATTATTCAAAGTTCTTGCCTAATCCTAATTGGATGATGCATTATCTTCACTGTTTGTTACTTTATTATAAACAATCTTGGAATGGAAACAAGTAAGACACTTAGAAGCCAACTCTAACAAATTACTTACTTAATCATAAGCTCTGAAGACAGCTCTTTTTCCTCTTCCCAAACAGTCATATCAACAATGTATTTTATAACTGAAGGGAAGATTTTCCTTGCTTGTGCTATTACCTCTTCATTCAACTGGCATTCCAAATTCTGCAAAAAAATAATAATTACCCATGTTAGTTCCACAGTACAGTTAATCAGCAAGCATGAGCACTTTGCAGACTCTTTCATTACTGACTAGTGAAAGAAGTATAGTAGCAATTGTTCAATAAGAAATATCTTTCATTCTCTCTCTTGGTTTGCGGGAGGGGGCTTGTACCAACTGATATCTGGTGACTGCCACAATTAGTCCTGCAGTTTTCCTGGCCAAATTTTTCAGAAGAGATTTGCCGTTGCTTCCTTTCTAGGGTTAGGAGAAAGCAACCAGCCTAAGGTCATCCAGCTGACTATGTGACTAAGGCAGGATTAGAATTCCCAATCTCTTGGTTTCTAACCTGATGCCTTAACCATTACACCAAACTGGATCCAAAAAAACCGTTGAAAAATCCAAACTGAAATCTAGAACAGCTGTTAACAATGTCTTCACTCTTAACTCTCTATGAAGCAGCTTTCCATGATCTATTTATCTTCCTTTAAAAGATATAAATGATATATAGAAAGTCCCCCTCTTATTGATAGTAATTAGGACCAGCGATTAGATTGTAAGATGCAATGTCACATGACTCTGCAACCTAAATGGGCATTCTAGTAGTCCTGGTTACCATTCTTAGGAAAATCCCATATGGTCACAGCATCCCAGTCACTTAACTGCCATTTGTGATCTACTAATGGCTTCCCCACTGACTTTGTTAATTGGAAGTCAGCAGTGAAGGTTGCAAATAGCAATCACATGATCGTGGAATGCTGTGATGTCATAATCATTAGTCAGCCACCCAAATCATAGTCATGTGAACACAGGGACACTGTGACAGTCACAACTATGAGGACCTGTCATGAATATCCCTTGCTCAGCATTATAGTAACTTAGAACAATCACTGAATGAGTGGACATTAAATGAGAACAATCTGTATAAGAATAACCTACCAGTCTCTCTGATTAAGCCAGTCTGGGGTGGTAGTTTTTTTATTCAGAAGAGGAGAGCTAAGGATATCATGGCTACATTGGAATCATGGCATTCTTTCAATATCTCATTAGCCAGTGAAAGTTCAACATTGTTTTCAATCAAGAGAAGAACAAGTGGGGATTCTTTATGATCTTACTGTCTTGTTCAAAAAATCTTGTTGAAATTGTGATAAATAGTTTTTGAGGGTCCATCTTTATGAAATTATAAACTCAGAAGAAGTCTGTGGAAATTTACATATTAGAATGGAACACAAACATCGAGGGTTATGATACAAAGATATTCCAAATATTTTGTGAGCATGCCCAAGCAACTAGTATATAATTAGAAATTATTCTTTGTACAATAATATTTGTTTTTCAATTTATTACAAAGAAATACCTCTTCAGTATTTTCTCCTCCTTCAGGCTCATGTTTTGTACACACTGGTCCAGTCTTCCATGCTTCTGTATCCCCACAATCACAGAATCCTCCTCCAGTGGAAGTATTCATCTAAAACAATTAAGAACAGAGGACACAATGGGAAGTCCAGAACCATTAATTCATTTTGCATGTAACACAGAACAATGGCACGGCATATATCACAGCAATACTACATTACACGAATAACAACTATACCCAAATTTATCTGTGTTCTCCTCTTGTAATGGTTATGTAAAAATGACCTGGAGGAATGAGAGGATGAGATGCTGTCTAGGAAACCAAAGGCAGGAGCCTGCTTAATGGTCAGAGAAAGAAACTTAGAAAAGGCCCACTCTAATGAACCAGGCTGTTAAAAGTGATGGCTGGAGATTTGTACTTTCAGATTTGCAAGATTGATATTAACCAATTAAAAAGTAAACAAGGAACACAATCAGATAACCTAATTCTACTTTATTGTAAGGCTACATTAACAGAATCTTGCATGTCTGAAAAGTACAAATCTCTTACCACAACTGTTAACTGCCTGACTCATTAGAGTGGGTCTTTCCTAAATTTTGTTCTCTGTTAAGCAACAGTAGACTCCCTTCTCTGTTATCTGTTTTTATTGCCCCTAAATGGGGGTCCTGGATATTCTGTACAAAAATTTGAGGTTTCTTTCTGAGATTATCCATTACTTATGCAGCTAATAATTATAAAGTAATCCTCTTGTTCTTTTTTCAACTAAAGAACCTGAAAGTAAGTTTATGAAATTAAATAGTTTTTCTATTATGCCTAGTAATTTTTGGCTGTCTGAATTGATGTGGCCATCCAGTATTTTACCACTTAACATAAATTGATTTTCATGTACTGTTATTTACTTTCAATACTTAAACAACACAATCAAATTTTCACAAATGCTCATTTATGCTTCTAGTACACTATATTAATAGATATCATGCCAAAGCACAAATTTCTTTACCTTGTAACGATGATTTACATGAATACTGTTCTGGAAGCAATCCATGCAAAGTACACAAGTTGGATCAATTGCACAATCCCTGCCACAAAAATAAGAAATTGATGCTGTAGAGTAAGCACTTATTTTTCAAAAACGTACCAAACTTCCAAATTCTGGAAGTGTTAATTGAACAAAGCATTCACACATAAGCCAGAACTGCTTATTATTAGTCATGAGTAAAATGATTTGTGCACAAGCCATTCTGAACATAAAATAGGTTTTGGATGATCAGTGCCTGAACTGCATCATGCATGTTTTAGATGTTTTAATCTAAACATAGAACAAGATTTTTTTTTCCAGGTATGAAATAAAATGGATTTTTTTCTGAGAAGTAACAGGAAGATAGAAAACTGACAGTAGAAAAAGACCTAGTGGTCCATCAACTGCACCTTTGTTTTCTTTTTAATTAATTAATTATTTTTATTTTATTTTTGTCAGATGATGGACACGTGTGTAAACTCTGTTACTAATAACTGATTCATTATTTCTGTTGAAATTGGTTCCAATCTTCTACTGCTCTTTCTGTGAAGTAATACTTTTTAACATTACTTTTGAATTCCCATTCCTCTTCTCCCGGTCAGTTTGAAGTTATATTCACGTGTTCTTAATTTTTGCTTAACATTGAAATACTACCTTCTAGAACTTTATTCTCACCTTTAAAGGTTTCATATTTAAATGTTTCGATCATGTTCTATATAGCAGGATTAGAACCTCCTTTTTCCTGATGGCGATTCCTCAAGTGATGCATCCCAGAATTTTGTTTGCCTTCAGTTACCTGGCCACACTGTTTATTTGTTTTGTAGTCTTCTGCTATAAGTACATCTAAATCCTTTTCTTCTGTTGTTCTAACAATGTACCCCCGATAGTGTAACCTGCCAGAGGATTTTTTTCCTTAGTGATCTTACATTAATGCATTGCATAATACATTGGTGGTGAGGAGATGAAGTGTGAAAACCTAAGGCTGATAGGTTTCCTTAGCGAGGTGTCTATAGACACTGTGAGAACCAGCAGCAGTAGCTGGAGAAGGAGGAAAAGGATGGTTGTAAGAAAATTAGGATGTGGATAAACTGGTAGGATATGTCGCATAAGACTATTGGTAGCTGAGGGGAGGAAGGGAAAGTGCTGGAAATATCAAAGAGCACATTGGTCAGTAGGATATCGTGGGACATCAAAAGTGGCTGTGGAGGGGAGGGAGAGAAGGGGGAGCAGAGAATATTGTGGAGTTCTCAAGCTGGTGTACAGGCCATGTCAAGGAGGGGAGAGAAGGGGAGCCCCGAATCAGCCTTGTTCTACTCATCTCCTAAAATCACTCTGCATCCTTCCATATTTTGTTTCAAACAAAATTTCAAACAACCAAAATGAGCCATGTTTTCAAGTGATAAACTGCAACAAATTCAAAATGGCTCAATAGAACTTCTAGAACATGGTTTGTTTTGCATTGGTAACAAAACTTACTTTCTTACATAATACTTTGCTACCCACACACGAACATAAATGCATTTTAGAAACATACATAACACCAAAGCTGTATTGACAATTATATATTATATCACATCATTCAAAGAAACATTAAGAGGTAAGAGTATTGCTATAAACCTGCAGGAATATGTTGTCTCTCCACCTTTAAATACTTTTCCACATAGCTGTGAGGTACCAATCTGTCTTAGCTTTTCTAGACAGGTATCTGGATCTTCTCCAAATAAATGCCACTCCAAAGGATAAAGAATCATTTTTTGGGCCATTTCCTCCTCTTTCTGTGATGGAGGGTCCATTTCATCACAATATATGCTTGGAACCACTTTTGCCAAATGTTGAAGAAAGGCAGCATGAAAATCAAGCTTCTCATCCCACCACTGCAAAAAACAGAACACAGTGTTTACTCCCTCAGCATCAGTATTTCACATATCAAAAATTATGATGTACATTACATGTAAATAGGGAAAATGCATGTTTTGGAGTTATAAATGTTTGGAACTTTTGAGTCAAAAATGAAGGAAATATGCCATTAAACATACATGTATTAAATAAATCAGTATTTACTGTGAAGCAGAATAAAGTTTCACTTTTTCAATTGACAGTGCTTTTCATTAACCAAAAAGAAAAAAAAATGTTAAAATGCCCTTGCCGATGACAGCTGCCTTCGCGCCCTTTTTAAACGCCGCCACGGACAAACAGGCTCTGGCAGCCGTTGAGACCACACGATAGCCCTCCCAAGCCAAGCCAACCAGGGTGTGGAGATGTTCTCAGACACACCGTCCCAACTTCTCCTTACTTCAATGGAATCGGCCCTCAGCTCATCCGTTCACTTCGCTCCGGGCCGAAGCCCCGAGTGATCGGAGTTTTGACAGCCGCTCAGATGGTAGACCGGGAGCCTGCTGTCAAATAGATAGGATTGGATTGTCCTATTTTTAAAACAGTTAAGGTTCAAATTCGAAGAGTGCTCAACAACACGGCATCCTATGCTTGACTGAGTCAATTTCTGGGGCACCCTTAGCAATAGGTGAGTATCTTCACAGATCTGACAGACTCAGTCCAATCAGCAGCAACGACTGACAACACAATCCTGGATGCTATCTCCACCACAATGGAGAATATCAACATTTAGTTTGATTGTTGTAGAATAACAACATAAAATTCTAGAACCTAATCATCTGAAAGGAAGCACAACTACTCTACAGCATTTACAGGAAAAAATAGTATTTTCTCTTTGATAAATTGTGAGTCACTTTCTTAGAAAAGGCTGTTATTCCTGCAAACTTAATTCAATTTCAGATTACTTTTAACAGAAAGAAGGCTCACATTTGATTAAATAAATACAGTCTGTCATACAGGGAAAAAAATCAATTGCCATCTGGTATTTTCAAGTTGTAATTAACAGAATACATGGAGGTTTAGGGTTTCAAGTTAAGCTTATAATTTAACATTAGGCAGAAGAACTGAGCTCTGAATTAATCTGATCTCCACCTCCACTATCCTTGCTCATTTCATTTGTTAAGATCCAAGACACTTTCTTGGATAACTTCACAAAAATTTTGGATTTCTTACCAATAAATTGTTTTGGTAGCATGAATAAGCAATTGGGTTACAATCCTATGCACTGAATTTATAAATAAAGATATATTTATGAAATATTTGCAATATTACTTTGGTAACAATATTACTCTGTTGCATTTATTTTATATATATATCATGATAGGCAGGACAAGAAGCAATGAATGGAAACTAATCAAGGAGAGAACCAATCTAGAACTAAGGAGAAATTTCCTGATACTTATAACAATTAATCAGCGGAACAACTTGCCTCCAGAAGTTGTGAATTTTAAGAAGAGATTGGACAACCATTTGTCTGAAATGGTATAGGGCAGGGGTCACCAACCTTTTGGACCTCAGAGACCACCAAACTCATAGTTTTAAATCCCAGGGACCACTAACCGGTTCTGTGGGCGTGGCCTAATTTGTGGGTGTGGCTTAGTGGTCATGTGACTGGCTGGGCATGGCTTGTATGTAAATATTATAAATATTGAATTTTTTATTGAAAAAAAGAGCAACTTTTACCAAAAATCAGGCAAAGCAGGCAGGCAGATTGAGTTGCTTACAGAATCATTCATTGACCTAACTATCTGCCATCGGTTAGTTCAGTCTCTCAAATTTGCTTGCCATGAGTCTGCACTGAATAATAGAACCTTCAGTCCTAAGGGAAGTTCGGCTGTGCTTAAAAGCAGAGCCGAAGATCTAAAGACTAGCTAGAAAGCAAGAAATCCAACCATTTCCTGCTTCCTAGCTAATCTAAATTTTCCTGCACAGCAGAACAGATGATGGTCGGAAAAAGGAAAAATAGCAATTTAGCAGGCAAGTGGGCAGGGAGGATTCCCGCGGGCCATGTGGGCGGCGCAGCCTTGTGTTTCTGCGCAGCCTGGATTAATTGCTTGGGGGGGGTGCTCTGGGGGTGAGATTTCTCTGTGGCCCACCAACATTTTATCACGGCTCACCAGTGGGCCATTGCCCACCAGTTGGCTACCGCTGGTGTAGGGTTTCCTGCCTGAGTAGGGGGTTGGAATGGAAGACCTCCAAGGTCCCTTCCAACTCTGTTATTCTGTTATGAGTTAATAGAACATAAAAAAGTTATTTACAGTAGCAAACAAGGAACCAGGAAGGCCTTGTTTTCATTGATCAAATGCAACACAATAGAGATTTCTGGGTAATTTCCTTGATAGCTATGTTAAGAAAAGCTGCAAAAAAAGGGCTTAGTTAAGAGTTGCTTATTAAATGCCAATTTGCCTTTCTCAATGATAATTCAAGCACTTCTCCAAAGATATAAAATTAAAAACTGGGTGATTGATAGAGAGAAAAGGAAAACATCACGCTCACTATATACCCAAAACAACTTTGTTTAGAAATTATGGAGTTTTTCCACTGGTAAAACACCAGTCTCTGGGCTAGAGTGGATAGGGCAAGGAATGACTGTACCACTTGCATTCAAGGGACATGGTGGCTCAGTGGCTGACACTGAGCTTGTGGATCAGAAAGGTCAGCAGTTCAGCGGTTCGAATCCCTTGCAGCGAGTAACGGAGTGAGCTCCCGTTACTTGTCCCAGCTTCTGCCAACCTAGCAGTTCGAAAGCATGTAAAAATGCAAGTAGAAAAATAGGGATCACTTTGGTGGGAAGGTAACAGCGTTCCGTGTGCCTTCGTCGTTTAGTCATGCCAGCCACATGACCACAGAGACATATTTGGACAGTGCTGGCTGTTCGGCTTTGTAATGGAGATGAGCACTGCCCCCTAGAGCCAGAAACAACTAGCATGTATGTGCGAAGGGAACTTTTACCTTTAGACTTGCATTCAAGGTGCCATTGCAATTCTGACGAGCTCCCATTAACACCATTGTTTTCAGTGGTGGAATTCAAATTTTTTTACTACCTGTTCTGCGGGCGTGGCTTATTTGGTGGGTGTGGCTTAGTGGTCATGTGACTGGGTAGGCGTGGCCAACTCAATCTCACTCACATCAAGGGGTGCCTCACCTGGCCCCTCCCCTCCCAGCCATTCCTAGTCACCCAGCCTCAACTTATCTAGTTCTGTAAAAATGTTGTTCACCTTTTTTGACTTTATTATCTGCATACGATAGATGTACTTTCACGGACCACTGAAAGGAGGAAATGGCTCACATGCTTTACTCAAGAGTGTGATAGGCAACAGGCTTTTAAGGGGCTGCCACAAAGAAAGGGGGATAATGTATTTTCCAAAGAAGCAGAATGCAAACAAGAAGCAATGGGTGGAAACTGAACAGAGAGAAGCAACCTAAAACTAAGGAGAAACTTCCTGTGAGTGAGAACAATTAACCAGTGGAACTGCCTGTCTCCAGAAATTCTGGGTGCTCAATCACTGGAAGTTTTTAAGACAAGACTTGGACAGCCGTTTCTCTGAAATGGTATAGGGCTCACCCCAAGGTCCCTTCTAAGTATTATTCTGACACCTTTCCCAGGATTTCTACTCAGAGTTTGGCATCCTCAGTTTTCTTGCCTGAGCTGGGGATTGGACTAGAAGACCTCCAAGGTCCTTTTCAACTCTTGTTAAACACATGTGTATTTTATGCTCTGGACTATTGACATTGAATGCATGTAAACCCTGAAAAAAATGTGGTAGCCCTGGGCAAAAGAAAGGCAGAAAAATCACTCTAGGTGTAGGGACAGTGTAAAATATTAACACATGATAAATAATGGAACAATTAAAAATAATAGCACAGAGTTTTATCTCTCGCTCTCTCTTCCTATTTTTTTTCTTTCTCTCCCTTCCTCTTTCTTTCTTTCTCTCTCTCTCCCTCTCTCTCTCTCTCTCCCTCCCTCTCTCTCATACACACACACACACACAGAGAGAGAGAGAGAGAGAGAGACCGAGACAGAGAGACAGAGCACTTGACAAGCATTTTGGAAGCAGCTCCTTTAAATTTCTCCAAGGCTGGAGTGGATTCCCCCACCCCCTCTGTCAGACCACACTCCTTCTCACTCCAGTACTTTAACTCACAAGGGGAAAGCCATACTTGCAGCGTCCATGGGGAATCCTTGGAGAAGTTTTTAAAGGACCTGCTTCCAAAATGCATTTCTTTTACGTTGCAAAAGTGCTCCAAGGCTCGATTCACCCCCACCCCCTCTGTCAGACCGCACTCTTTCTCACTCCAGGCACTTTACTCACACGGGGAAAGTGGGGAAAGCAATACTTGCACCATCCATGCCTTCCTTCCTTTCCCCTGGGGAGAAAGAGGATGTGGGGAACGGAAAGCTAGGAGAGCGATCGCAAGTGAGCGACCAGGTGACCAGGTTGGGGATGCCACTGGTTTGGTGACCCACGCCAAATAACAGCTACCAGTTCGCTCGAGTAGGTGCGAACCAGTTGAATACAACCTCTGATTGTTTTTCACTGCTTTGTTTTAAGGTGATAAGAACAGCTCTAAATCTAAATGGAACATCCTGAGGGATGGGCTGCACAGCCTGAGTTCTCACAGCACTTTAGCATATGGCCATAGGCACTGAGCCATTTCTTCTCACTCTAAAATTGTAGTAAGGAGCTGCAGTAGTGAAGATGATGGGAGCAGGCAAAAGGGGAAAAGTAGAGCCAGCAGTACAGCTTGCCCATCTGTTTTTTCTCTCCAGAGGAGAACCTGTTTTTCATCAGTCTAAGCAAGGTTACGTCATGCCTGGTGAGACTGGCAAACTGCTATCCCGTTTTCAACAGTTGCTTTACCTATGTGAAGGAAATGTAAGCCACAGAAAATGACTTGGAAGGCCATAGGCACCTCATGAGTTTGGGACCTCTGATCTATCTTCTAATATTTCTACACAGCACTTTTGGCATTCATTCTACTTTCACTCTAATTTTTTTTTACTTTTTTTCTAAGACCCACCCTTAGCTCTGCAAAAAATTGGTCTTCTCCACATTCATATCCTCTCATTATATTTCTATTCCATCGTTTACTTTATTTACTTATTTATTAATTTACATACTGCCCATCTCGCTGTTTTGGGTGACTCTAGGCAGCCCCATCCTTTCTAGCTTAGGAGCCGTGGTGATGCAGTGGTTAGAATGCAGTATTGCGGTTTAATTCAGAATGCAGTATCACAGGCTAATCCAGCTCACTGCCAGGAGTTCAACCCCTCACTGGCTCAAGGTTGACTCAGCCTTCTATCCTTCCAAGGTCAGTAAAATGAGGACCCAGATTGTTGGGGACAATATGCTGACTCTGTAAACCGTTTAGAGAGGGCTGTAAACCACCATGAAACAGTATATAAGTTTAAGTGCTATTGTTATTATACTCATTCCTATGCCATGTATACATATAAATAGATATTTAAACCACATATTTAAAAAAACGGATCTTTTCTAAGCAGATACTCCAGCAGTCTGCATTCCTACTGTATTCTTTGGCTTCTACTGATACAATGGCCTTCTCTTGCAACTATCACCAAATATAGATTTCTACTTAATAGACACCCATAACAATTACTTAACACCAGTTTATATTTCTAACATATATTTAGCCCTTCCTTCCATAATTAAATTTCACTTCCCTGCACATATTTCTCAACTCTACAAGATCAGATCACTTTCATTCACGTGTATTATATGCTTTCCCTTTTTTAAATTACAGACACACTTTTCTTTTTAACTTCATTAATTCATATTGTTTACTCCTTTTACATTCCAAATCTTCCATTTGACATATCTTTGGCAGATGGGCCATAGATATGGACTTCCACCACTCAGTGGCTTTGGTCATTCAAGGTTTTTGCATACATCTTTGAGGTGGATTGCACTGAGAGAGAATGACCCAAAGTCCCAAAGTCATCCAGCAAGCTTTCATGCCTAAGGCAGGATTAAAACTTAGTCTCTTAATTTCTACGCTTGCACCTTAACCACTACATCAAACTGGTTCTCATCACATATTGCATACATACTGAAACGTCCATGTTTGTTTAAAAAATACGTGAGAAATCTCATTCAAACAAAATTCAAACTTGTAAACATTGCAGTATTTACTATTGCCTTCATATATGGACTGCAGATGCAAGAGACATTAATGTTTTTGTCTCTTTTCTATGTATTGTGTGTTTCCCCATATTAACTGTCTGCTCACTTTTCCTTTTCCAGTTACACAGCTGCTTTGACATGGTTAATTATTAAATGTCAACAAGTAGACAAATATCATTCCTGGTTACCTACAGTTCCTTTCAAAACATCACCTAAGCAGTAATTACTTCTCAAGTTCTCTATAATTTACACAAAATCTCTCAAATTCTTAAGCTGCACTATTAAGCTACTAGTATCTTTTGGTCTCCATTTGAAATCCATGACACAGCATTCACTATTTCACTGCAGCTGAAGTTTGGCTATTTTTCCAAAGTGAAAGAAATGCAATTTGTTTTTATTACAAAAAGTGAACTATTGTTGAGCCTGGAAATCCTGTTTACTTAATTAACATTCATTGTTAAAAACTGTTGATTTACTCAAAAGATTCATTTTAGGTATTTTCTCTGATGTCCCCGTTTTCACTTTTACTTTTACTTCAAGCTCTTAGTTATTTACATTAAATACTTTTGAACTATTGCATGCCTATTATATTGTCCCTGTCGTTTCTTTTACCATTCCAGTCCTTGTTTTTATTTATGAATCTATTTCCTCTAAACAAAGAAATATACAATTGCTAAACATTATTTTTAACAAATATTTCCATAAAGTTTGATTAATAATGTCACTGAAGCTCATATAAGGGTCATTTATGATTAAGAACACTACCATACATATATATAAATACCAAGAGGAATGCATTGAGGGTAATATTTTGATGTTTAAATATTATGGCCTAGACAACAATCCACTCCAGCAGAAAATAAATTTGCTTTTTAGCTTCATCTAATCTCCCCTCCCCTACTTTATGATAATAATCTTCAAGATGCAAAACATTCCATACTGGTTTATTATAAACATATTGCTGAATGTGCAGTGCTAATAAACGAGCACTACACGGTAATAAAAGAGCACTGCCCATTAAGCAATATTTTTTTAAAAAAACTATTACATTTTAAAGTAAAGAGATCAAAACCAACAACTAATAATTGAAATAGAAAAGAGACAAAAAGTTAAGAATTAAGAGAACAAAGCCCAGATGCCAGAACACTTCGGGAAATGTTTGTTGCATGTTTATCGAGGTACAGATCGACTATTTATATTCCAAAAGTGGATCTGTCCGAATCCAACTCCGGTAATGTTAACTCTCCTGGAGTTATAGAGGAAAACCCTTCTCAAAATCCTGTCAATTAAGTGGGCTTTGCCGAGCATGTATGTACGGCGCTGTGTAGTGCGCAACGGTGCAGTCCCATTTGACAAGAAGAAACCCAGAGATGAACCTTTTGGGTGGGGGGGACCGCAGGCAACAGAAGCGGGAACTAGGGAAAGACCCCCTTCCTAGCAAGACATAAGGAGCAGAACAACGCGGGCTAATAAAAGCATGGGAGCCCGGGCATTTCTGGGTTAGGGTCCATTTATCTAGCACAGCTGCTGCTTGGACTCTTTAAGGAAGGCAACGTCGCCGCGGCTGTCGACCAAACGCAAGGAATGAACCCCCGGGCGGGAGCGGAATCTCACCCCAGCCAGCTCCGAGGGGTTCACGGGGGCAGCCGCGCCGCCCGTTCCAGCCATCCTTTCCGCGCCGTCGCCTTCATCCGCCATCTTAGGAGAAGCGGGGCTCGGCAGTCTTGAGTCCTACCGCAGGGCCAACCGGAAATCAGCTGCGTGGGAAAGGCCTGGGAAAGACCAGGTCTCGGGAAAACCTGACCCGATGCCCGACTCCAAACCCCAAGAGAAGAGGTTCCTCAGCAATATTGCGCATGCTCGGCTTTCTGGCGCATGCTCAAGAGAGCACTTGCCGAGTCGAGCGTCGCTTGCTGACCGGAAAACCTCGGCGGCTGCTTCTCCAACAAATATGGAGTAAAGCCTCTAAGAAGGCAGCTGGGGAAGCCCCTCCACCGAACCACGTAACAACTGCTGCTATAGGGGCAGATTTCTTCAGAAGTGGGAGAGAACTGATATATTTTCTGTCTGTGAGACATGGTGTTTGATTTTGAAATTTGCTGCACAGAATAAATCGATTTGCAAGATAAAACTGAATTTCCAAACCTTTCTTTAGGCAGTATTGGTCTTTTGAGGGTCCACATTTCTCTTCTGCCACACACCTAATTATCTGCAGGATCTTTAGATGTGAAGTTCTTGCTTGTAGACTGAATGTTTGCTAAATAAACGTTTATATTCATAAAAGTCTTCTTCCATTGACTTGCACAGACATGTAATGCACGCACTTTCTTTCCACCTAGCACCATTTCTCTGATGAAAATAGCCCCCTAACATGAAAAAACAGGTATTCACCCTTTTCACTCTTTGTAGCTCAGAGGCAAAAAGCGAGGTGGTACTATGAGGGAAAGATTTATGTTCCATATCCCCAGAGTTAAGTTCCTTGTTGATTTGATCCTGGAAAAAAATTACTTTTTGTTTTTAGAAATGTATTGCCACCATTGTCAACAAAGAAGACATGAAAGTTAGGATTGTAATATGGACCAAATGTCTACAGAATGGAGCAAGGTTGAAAAAATGCAAAGTACTGTACTACTGACTGTTGAAAAAATATCATTTACAGAAAGAATGAATATTTGTATGTGTTGAGTGCCCCCTGCTCTAAGTTATATACACACAACACTAGAGTTAACCCACGCCAGGTCTTGGATTCAAAGCCAGTTTGTGCAAATCAAAATAGCACTTTCAGGTTTGGACAATATACTTATCCAAGAGAGTGCTAGAAAGGTTCTTATAGAAGGAAGCCCATACATTAATGCAGCTGCCATAAACCCAATGCCCTGAATTGTTGAGCACTACTTGAGCAACATCCACTGCCTTGCTGGGTGATTATTTAGGCTTTTTTTTGGAAGTGGACACATGACATATTCTAATACACTGAGTGAGGCTTTTCAACTTCTGCTAGAGAAAATGAAAAAGGGTTCTCTATACAACATGAACTCTGCCACCCGACTTGTGGCTTAGACCTATGCTATTGGGCAGAGGTCTCCAAACTTGGCAACTTTAAGACTTGTGGACTACAAGGAGTTGAAATCCACAAGTCTTAAAGTTGCCAAGTTTGGGGACCCCTGCTATTGGGTCTAAGCCACTACTGGTTCTTTTGAGTAACCAATCAGGATGCAGCTTGCTCGGTCAGCGAAGTTGTCAAAGTTGCTCTGAGTAAGGGAGTAATGACATCTACGGTACTTTAAATGAGATGGTTCTACACCTGCTCTTGAAGAAGCCCCTCTAGGACCCTAGAGATTTTGATAACATCTCCCCTTTCTTCAACTTACCTCATATGAGCCCTAGAAGAAATGAATCCTGCATATTAATGTCCAGTCATGGGGCAATAACATGATTGGTCATTCGAGTAGATGACCTTGTTTGGACATGGCCGGGGGAAGTGGAACCACCTTGATGACTTTCAGTACCCTCAGCTATGGTATCTTACTGAACTTTTTGCAATGACTGGGGAAAGAAATGACAATTTTTCACATTTGAGATCATTGCAGCATCCCCATGATAACGTGATCAAAATTGATTCATATTTGTGGCACTTGCAGTGTCCTGGGGTCATGTGATTGCCATTTGCAAACTTCTGACAAACATAGTCAATGGGGAAGCCAGATTCAATTTACAACTATGGCACTTATTTAACAACTGCAGTGATCGACTTAACAACTGTGGCAAGAAAAGTTGCAAAATGGGGCAAAACTCACTTAACAACTGCTGCACTTAGCAATAGAAATTTTGGGCTCCGTTGTGGTCGTAAGTCGAGGACTACCTTTATTGCAGTTGGTCCCTTTCTGGATTTTTAATGTAGTTAGGGGGAAACAGTATTTTAGATCTTTCAATGCTCAGTATCTCAGGCTTAGTGTTTTCCAACATTCTATTTGATATCTACATGAGCCTGTTGGATAAGTATAGCAGTATAGCTAGTCCTAGACTTATGACCACAGTTGAGCCCCAAAATTTTGTTGCTAAGTGAGACATTTGTTGAATATTGCCCCTTTTCACAATGTTGTTTTTTTTTGCCACAGTTGTTAAGTAAATCATTGCAGTTGGGTTAGTGATATGATTGTTAAATGAATCTGGCTTTGATTGTCAGAAGGTCACAAAAGGTGATCACATGATTCCTGGGGACGCTGCAACCATCATAAATATGAGTCAGTTGCCAAACATCTGAATGTTGATTAGGTAACTGTGGGGATGCTGCAATGGTTATAAGTGTGAAAACAGGCATAAATCACTTTTCCAGTGCCATTGAGACTTCAAACAATCACTAAATGAATGTTCTAAGTTGAGAACTACCTGTACACTCATTTGTCACAGGTCAAGCCAGAGATTGGAAAGCATAAACCATGTCTTAAGGCTATCAGTTCAAAATAAGATCAAATTAATTAAATAAAGATTAACTTGCTGTGCATCACTAAATGCTCCAGAATATTGATTCCATTAGCTGTTCTGAATTAGGTAATGCTTCCTGCAAAGGAATTAGTGTAGAACCTGGATATCCTCCTAGATCAGAGGTGGTATTCAGCAGGTTCTGACCAGTTCTGGAGAACCGGTAGCGGAAATTTTGAGTAGTTCGGAGAACCACAAATACAACCTCTGACTGGAGATTTTACAGTATCCTTCCCCTGCCATGCCCACCAAGCCATGCCCACAGAACTGGTAGTAAAAAAAATTGAATCCCACCACTGTCCTAGATTCACGGTTACTGTTTAAAAGGTGAATGGAGACTGGCCTGGTGGATATTTGCTCAGCTTTGCCTAAGTTAATTATACTGTCTTGGGCCAGGATAGTTCAATAATAACTCATGCAGAATTACTGTAAAGCAGAGGTGTCAAACTCACGGCCCACAGGTCAGATGACGGATGCATCACGTGCTGGCCCTGCCCCCACCCGGTTTAGCAAAGGGGGGGAAAGTCCTGCAATATCATGTGACAAGTTTGACACCCCTGTTGTAAACCATTTTATGCAGGGCAGTCTTGGGAGGTGATCCAGAAGCTACAGCTGATCCCAGAAGGACCTGTTAAGTGGTTTTTCTCTATTTGAAGTGGACGTGGACAAGGAGACTAGCCTTCTCTGCAGCGGTCCTCACAAATTGAAATTTGTTACTTCCAGAGGTCCAAAATGCTTTCTCTCATATTGTAGGTTTTTAGAAGTTTTTAAGACAGTTTAATTCTATCTTTTTTACGTACACTGAGAGCATATGCACCAAACACAAATTCCTTGTATGTCCAATCACACTTGGCCAATAAATTATTCTATTCTATTCTATTCTATTCTATTCTATTCTATTCTATTCTATTCTATTC